ACCACTTGTGAGATTAGACTAGGGCTGCACAATATTGGAAAAAAATTGACATTGCGATGTTTTTTCCCTGCAATATATATTGCGATATATATATATATATATATATATATATATATATATATATATATATATATATATATATATATATATATATATATATATATATATATATATATATATATATATATATATATATATATATATATATATATATATATATATATATATATATATATATATATATATATATATATATATATATATATATATATATATATATATATATATATATATATATATATATATATATATATATATATATATATATATATATATATATATATATATATATATATATATATATATATATATATATATATATATATATATATATATATATATATATATATATATATATATATATATATATATATATATATATATATATATATATATATATATATATATATATATATATATATATATATATATATATATATATATATATATATATATATATATATATATATATATATATATATATATATATATATATATATATATATATATATATATATATATATATATATATATATATATATATATATATATATATATATATATATACAGTTGAAGTCGGAATTATTAGCCCCCTTTAGATTTTTTTTTTCTTTTGTTTTATATTTCCCAAATGATGTTTAACAGAGCAAGAAAATTTTCACAGTATGTCTGATAATATTTTTTCTTCTGGAGAAAGTCTAATTTGTTTTATTTCGGCTAGAATAAAAGCAGTTTTTAATTTTTAAAAAAACTATTTTGGGACGAAATTATTAGCCCCTTTAAGCTAATTTTTTTTCTGATAGTCTACAGAAGAAACCACCATTATACAATAAATTGCCTAATTACCCTAACCTGCCTAGTTCACCTTATTAACCTTGTTAAGACTTTAAATGTCACTTTAAGCTGTACAGAAGTGTCTTGAAAAATATCTAGTCAAATATTATTTACTGTCATCATGACAAAGATAAAATAAATCAGTTATTAGAAATAGGTTTATAAAATTATTATGCTTAGAAATGTGCTGAAACAATCTTCCCTCCATTAAACAGAAATTGGGGAAAAAAATAAACAGGGGTGCTAATAAGTCAGGGGGGCTAATAATTCTGACTTCAACTGTATATATATATATATATATATATTATGGGTGGAGCCGAACCCGAATACGGTATTCGGATAAGCTCAAATAGCGTGTTTTTATGAAAACTTATTTAGAACAAATACTTGAAAAATTATTTGTTCGGGAACAAGAAAAACATTATATCAAAAAGCTGCGTTTCCTCATGAGACCGCAGTGCATGCCCACATGAGTGAGTGAGTGAGTGAGTGAGTGAGTGAGTGAGTGAGTGAGTGAGAAATTCAGGAGTCGGGGGGCAGGGTGGGGCCGGGGTAAAAGGTTATTGGCGCAGGCTGCAGCTCCACACAGCAACAGAGAAGATTTGGCAGAGCGAAAAATACTGCATTACTATTTTTGTTTCATCATACTAAAATAACACGTAACAGAAGTTCACTCAAAAGTGAAAGTTCTTTCTGTCATTAATTACTAACACTCCCGTCATTCCTACTACTTTCAGAACATAAATTTTGATATTTTACCATATGAAAATGCAATGCAGTTATGAAAATTGTAAAATTAAAGCAATAGTGCAGAGATCTGGTCCCCGCGTCATGTCAGGGTGCACCTGTAAACCTTTAAAACACAACTGACCACGGCAGTGACGCGGTTGTCACAGCCCTAGTCTTAAGTATACATAGATATATACACTAGATATCGCATAGGAACCCTGAGTATGCGTCAATAATGTCTCCACATTGGTACAGTGCTCCCAGGACAAATGTCATTCAACCGCACTAGTCAAGACAGTGTTATTACATAAAGATGCTGGACTTTATCGCTGTCTACAGGTGTAGTACAAACAAGCAAACAAAGAAAACAAAGCACAAAGGCAGAACATATCATAGGTAAGATTAAGTTTTTTTGCGTTTTTGTATGTTCTGAACTTTTGTGCTAATCAGATAACGTTATTGATGATAACAGTCACTTACTGCATTCACCATAAGGCAAAGTAGCTCCAACTTGCACTAAACACACGGCTTATGCTAGTTTTGTTGAATAAAATCAGCAAACAATGCAAAAGAAATATGACAACCAGATGCTGCGCTGCCAGAAACTTGTATTATTGTCGGCTAGTGAGAGAGTCGTTCACAAACGAATCGCTCCCTTCGTCAGTATGAGAAGTGAAAGCAGGAGAGGAGGTGTGTTTCAGGACATGATTAAATCAAATTTTACAGAGAGGGTGAATAGTACATTTCTGTACACACAAACACAAGCTTTTTTTGTAAGGAATGCCCATGCAGTCACTGATCCATCAATGTAGAAAAGTGATGTAAAATTATAATTTGTGTAATTAGAAAAAAATAAAATACATACTAACATCCAGGAAAACTCACGATCATAGATATATGTGTATATGTGTACATCTCTGGCTTTGGATGGCCACAGTCCTCCACTGTACCTTGGTCCCGCATTCATTTCAAAGGAGCGCTACCCTGTACCAAGATGGTGGCGCTATTGACGCATTCCGTCCAATAAACAACAATAGGCCAGGCAACATCTAATGTATATATCTATGTTAAATATATATATATATATATATATATATATATATATATATATATATATATATATATATATATATATATATATATATATATATATATATATATATATATATATATATATATATATATATATATATATATATATATATATATA